GTTTAAATCCACGTCTTATGGAATATCAATATGGAATCATATAACTAAAGGGGAATTTGGAGGGCCATTTCCCAAGTGCCATGACGTACAGTGGGGATTCTTGAAAAAAATTGATCCCCAACAGCATCCCCTGTAGAAAGTCCAGTCCCAAGATGCACATCTCATGGACATGCGGGCAGCAGTCACTAGTCCAATGAAATGATGGTTCGCTGCCGCTACAACTGCAGTAGTCCACCCATGCATGGCTCTCTCTTCTCCAATAGTTCTACTTGGTTTAAGGTTGGTGGATGGTAGTGGGGTCCCAGGAGGTGAATTCTAAGTGGATGATAGTGATCATCAACCCAGTGTCCACTGGTACCTAGCATAGTGCCCCTGCAATTATGAGATGAAGGTGATAGTACCACTGGAATTCTGATGTTGGAAATCTGACTTAACTATACTAATACACTAGTAATACAGTAATACATCACTGAGTCATCTGAATCCCCCACTTTGCGTCACTCAAATAGTTCACTTTGGGGAGTAGTTTTTCATCTACCTTGTTCTTTGCTTGTTCTTCACCTGTAGGGAATGTTCTTTGTGTGTAGGGGAACCCACTGTCCAATTCTGACATTTAGGTGGCCATGCTCCTGTTATTCCTGTGCTTCAACACAGTTGAGCAGCTCTGACTCACTTCTTGCTGCGTACTGGCATTTTCCATGCTGGCAATGGGTGAAAGAGGCTGGATTTATCACTTCCTTGGTCACTAGGGGGAGAGAAGGGGAGCATACAGAGAGAGGGTAACAACAATCTTCTGTAGAGAAAGGAAATATGGGGGAACCCCCTTTCATAAAGTAATGTAGGAGGACACACAGTCAAGGTCAAGGTTGAGAGGGAAGTGGTATAGTCCATCAACGGAGGGAAAGGAATGCTACAATATCATGATTGACAGCAACATTTTGCACTTACAATAAGTATAATACTTTAGCAATCAACAGAATGTTTTTCATTTTACTTTTTCTACGCACTATAGTAAACATTTTTACTACAATTTATTTAAAATAAAGTGTTATGACCTGGTAATTTGGGAAAAGCCTATACTCCACGTGAAGGAGATTTTTTTTTGTTTTGGAAATTGCTAGTTCAGGTCCAAGTTATTCTGCTGTCTGGCCTACTATCAGCTTCCAGCAACTGTGCAGATAAACACTGATGTTTGTGTAGCAAAGTTCTTCAATCTATGTATCATGCACCTATACACCTGTTGAACAACTATGCTTTTCCCTGTCTTTGTGTGAATTTATAGTGACCATTAAAATTATCTGCTCTGCTGCCTTTTAAACAATTCTTTCAGAAGACATGTACTTCTTTTGCTGACCAATACCAAAATGTACAAGATGTATATACACATTAAGTATGTGAGTAAATATCATGTTATCTGCTCTGGGGGTAAATCATCTCATGAGGACTGGGCTTAATTTGTGATGGAGCTTTCTTTCAGTTTGAGACTGTCCACCCAGGAGCTCCCAAGAGAGCTCAAACACCTCCTTGTGACGTGAAATTGTATGCTCACATAGTTTGGTTAGGTCCTAAGAAATACAAGAAAGAGACTAAATATGCAGAGTATGTTTGGTGTAGTTTGCCTAGCTTGGGGAATTGGCAGCCTCACCTTAAGGGCAAAGCTGCCAGACCCCCCAAAACACTAATGCTGAACTCAAACCCAGAGCAAACAGCAAATGAGTTTGACTTGGTTTTGCTGGAATTAAAGAAGATATTCATAGCCAAAGTACATACCTACAACAAATGACAGAATGTGTATGATGCGGGCTTGAGGTTGTGTGAACAAGTGTGTTCGGATAGTGTTTTAGAAGCATGTATGCTATGGGGGCCAGGATATGAGTCAGAAAATGGTGGCAATACTAGCACCTAGCAGCAGTAGAAAAACCTGTTATACATTCATTGAAACAGTGTACATATTTTAGTTTTTTGTGTTGAATATTTCAGAATTTTTATATTCAAAACTATTTGCTACAATCATTTTGTTTTGCTGCATACACTGTAATGGATAAGAGATGAGCTTGCTATATATTTGATTTTTTTTTGTTTTGATAGGTTTCTAAACATTTTAAAGGACCATGCGACAACCAAAGATTATATACACAGGATTGCAAATCTGTTTCTGTGCCACAGCCTAACTAGCCTAATTCTGAATGTTAAAAAACAGAATAGTTTTTGATCCCAGAGCAGTTGGTGATCACTCACGTAGTAATCCACAATGAACTTATCACTTAGGTTGTTTAATATAAGTGCTTAAGTGTACACATAGACAGTAACTTATGCTGGACTACTCATGTTGAGACTGTTTTCTCCAAAGTTCAGCAGCACTTATATTTCCTGCAAAGACTAAGAGGGTTTGGGGTTCAATGGGAAGTACTGCTACTTTATTACCATGCTGTAATTGAGAGCATTATCAGATATGGTATTACAGTGTGGTTTGGTAATCTATCAGTTCATTTAAAATCGCAAATTACCTGCCTCATCCAGACAGCTTTGAAGGTCATTGGAGTGAAACAGCATCCTTCCCTGCAGACAATCTTTGAGAAATCCATAATCAAACAGGCAGGAAAAATTATATCAGATTCTTCCCAAATCCTCAACTCTGAATATCAACTTCTTCCTTCTGGCAAACGTTTTAGGGTTCCCAAATGTAAGTCAAACAGATACAAACATTCCTTTGTTCCACTATCGATTAAAGCTGTCAATGCAAATGTCAAGAATAATTTTGACTCTTACAACCCACTTGAGTGCAATATGTTTTTGTGATGTGTTATAAATGTTACATGTTGTTATTATTTATACTGTACATGTGCAATAGAGTGATGTGCAATGTTTTTCTTATTTTTTGTAATAGAATAATGTGTAATATTTTCTTTTCTTCTTTTTTTTGTTTGCATTCTATTTAAATGTACAGGAGTGCTGTGTGTCAATAAAAAAAATTCCCTCAGGGGACAATAAAAATCTTATCTTATCTAATTCTGCTGTATAGATGAGAATTGTCTCTACAGAATAAAAGGACTACTGCTTTGGTTACTTCAACTGGTGCCAGTCATCAAAAGGGCTGATTTTTTGCACTTCCTAAATAATTAAGAAATATTGAGTATTTGATCAAAGTGTAAAACCTCCTATCCACCCAGATAAATGATAATTGGGACAAAGGGACAAACGAAAAGCACCGAAAACATGCAGAAAATTCGTTTTTTATTGATTGTGTTCTTAAAAGGACCATTTATTTCTGTCAAGGTGCTATCCCCCACATGTAAAGTTTTGAACACATTGTAAAAACCATAATAATAAAAAAACGAATGTCTTCGAATTTCAAAAACTTCAATACTATACTCTACAGTCTACTTTAGTCATTATTTTCAGTTTATGTTCATAGTTCATCAAAGAAAATATTTGGTTGTCATGATTTTTTGTTGTACGGAAATAAATGTACAACATAAATAATACCCTTTTTCAATACTAGAAAACCACAGTTTTTCACTGTCGCATTGCCTAAACCATTTTTGTTTACTTAGAATAAAGTCTTATCTTAAGAAAATTAAAGGTTCTGTTTCATTCTATGAGATTAAAAACATGCTCTTGTCACAGCAAAGGCTGTGAATTTTTAAGACCTTCTTAAATGTGAAAATAAATGAAGGCAACTTGATATTTAATTCTAGTAAACACATTGAATAAAATACAGATTTAAGTTTAGAAATGTAAAATATTTGAAACTCCTAGGACATTTTAAAAATCCATTGCAATCTTTTTAAGTCCTGTGTGATCTGAGCACTTCATTTCAATTTCACTTCTAGTATAATTCAGTTCTCTTGTGGTGCACTATATAGCAATTTTTCTTCCTTTTCGTCATACTTATTCACTATTCTACTGCATGAATTCCTAGGAAAGGAAATTTCAATTTCCCGGGATGACAGGAAATTATATTGGAAAGCATCAGTGTCGCACTTACAGTAGGACATAATAGGATGTTTCTCAGAAACGTATTCAGTGTCTTTTTTTAAAGAAGTTAAAGAAGGGGAAAGGTGTGGAGAGTAGGGTGTAGGACATTGCAAGACAAGATGTATGGAATATAAAACAACATCCATCTATCCATTTTATAACCACTTCATCTAATACCAGATATGGGGTCACAGGGGAGCTGGAGCTTATCCCAGCAAGCAGCAGGCACAAGGTGGGATACACCCTGGATGGCACACACAGACATTCACCACTCACATCAGGAACAATTTTCCCAGAAGCCAATTAACCTATCGAAATTGCATTGATCCCAGAGCTCCAGCGCTGTGACACAGCAATGGTAACCACTGCACCACTGTGCCACCTTATGGAACAACAATACTTTAAAAATGGATGTGCAACACTCCCTGCTTGTCCCATACACTTCCAGGCTAACACTTTCAGGAAGCTTACTCTGGAGATATTTCTGTTGCAACATACACATGTAAACAGCAAATTAAACAATAATAGAAAACTATCAAAATAAATTAAGCAAGCTACACAAATAAGAAATAAAATATGGTGATAGTAAAACGAACCTATTCAGATATAGTAACAGCCAGATTAAATCAAAACTTCAAGACTCCATCAATTGGAAATTCCAAACCCTGAATGTACTTGGATCTTTTGTATTTACCAAGACATCTTGCTTCAGCCCAATGCAATACTTGTAAACAAAGCTTGTAAATTGCAATTCTTGGGTGGTTTTGAGGTTTTAATTCAGTCTGGACTTTAGAAAAGAAAGTTAATTTTGTCCAAGTGCATTAATTCACAATTTCAACAAATACAGAGCCCAAGCATAAATACCCACGAGACCTAACTTTTTTCTGTGTTTGCTGATATAAAAGGTTCAGTATTAATATTTCCACTTTCATGGCACTTAAATCACTTGTACATGGAAAGCACAGACACAAAAATATTCTCTTTTGAAACAAGTATCTCAATTAATTTGACAAAAGGAAGACTAGGTATAAACAAGCATTAGTTTAATTAATTGCTTAGCAGAATACATGAAAGACGATGGCTTTCCATTTTGGATTGGCCTAGACTGAGAAAAAAAGGATGAAGCCATAGTGAGCAAAGAAAAATGAAGCCAGACTGCTTTAAAGACTACCCACATGCTTTACATAATAAAACACGCAGACATTTAGAACTAATAAACATCTTTGAAAGTATATTCCTTATAACATCCTTTTAATTGAATTCTGGTTGTTTTGTTCTGCTACTTCATCATTTTGAAAGACTGTGTCTTAGCACCACCAAATCCTGCACCGATGCTGTACAAAAGCAATGCTTGGGTCCCCTCTAAATACAGCACCTTTGAAAATGATTACAAATAAACAGCAATGCATCCCAGTATTAGAGATGAGGTAGCTTACACTATGGAATTAAATGTCTGCACGGTTTCTTTATAAACTAAGGCAAAAAAGTAAAGTGGAAAAAACATAAGCACAAAATTCAGTTGCACACACTTTTCTTTAAGAGATTGCTTACCCTTTTGCACATAAAAGCACATGGTTGAACTCATGTTCATTATATAGCACCACTGATTTGAAAATGTCTAATATTAAATTGGTCTTATACTTATATAAGTTGAACTAGTGAGATACAGACACTGTTTTACAAATCAACAACAAAAAAGGCATTTAAAGGTCATAGTTTAATCGGTTAGTAGATTTTTAGTGATGAAACATGTTAACAGCATCTATCTTTTTCACCTCCAAAAGCCTTTTTTAAATGGACTGGCTCACCCATAACCTGACGAATTCAAATGTCAGCAGTTTATGAGAAAAATGTTTAATTTATCCTTTGACTTATTAAAGTAATACATTACTTTGATGTCTTTATATATATTAAACATCATGTTATACAATTTTAATAACCCCCTCTCATACTGTAAGTTGTATTGCAATGCAATACATTCTTATACCTCCTATGCATAGAAACCTGTAGTTTCAATTCAGAAAAGGAAACACTATCAGGACATTAATTGGATTATACCTTGTTTTCCACTGGAATAATAACACATTCTTTATCTTTCTGTAAGACCTCTGCAATATTCTACACTAAAAATCTACTAAAATGTATTGTAACAACAAAAGGCAATCAAAGGCACAATAAATATTTTGTCAGAAGGCCAGAATGTTCAAAGATATTATATGTACAATGCTGAGTGAATCAGCAAATAGTTCAAGAGTCTCAGGATTGACTTCAATGCGTCTGTGTCCTTTGGTTTACAAGAAGCAAACTGGCCCAATATCTATGCCAAACTCCTGATCTGAACCACCAATGTCCACTGGAGCAATGTCCACAATGGGAAGACGTGCTGTTTTCTGTGTTCTATACTCAAAGACTGTCTTGCCCCATTCACCGTTGGCTTTCTGCAAAATGAAAGACACATTAATATTTAATTGAATTGGAAGTTGTATGACAACATTACACTGTATTTATCTTAATACAAACTTTGTAAAAAAATGTCTTCTGTAGTTCATTTCTTTAAGACATATTGTCATTTTGCAATTAAATAGAAGCTGAGAATGGATTACATATTATGCTTAAAGTTTCTGAATGGAAATGCAGAATGGAATATATGCTCACTATAAAAATATATTGGAAGTCATCTTGGAGCATTTTTTATCAATAATCACCCATGCACCCATACCTATTTGCCTATGCAACGTAGTATGTTCAGTTGAATCACTGTTTTGTTTTTCAATTCATTTTTTAAAATAAAATAAAAAAGTGTAGTATTCATAACATTGCTCTTGTTAGAATATTTACCAACGAATCTGAAATGTGAAAATCTGACCAAATGGTCAATATTAATAGTAAAACACTTAAGTAAAGGTAATTATACATGTGTATATCCCAGTACGTATATAAATTAATTTTTAAACTTACATAACAAGTGTCCTCAAGTACAGTATATCTGAATCGACTGTTTCCTTCTGCTTTAAGATCAAGGTCATTAGCAGCTTTTAAAATCACAGCCTTCTTCAGATTTCCAGTTTTTTCATCTTTATACCCCACACTGTTTTTACAGTGGTATGTGATGGTCTGGGAGGCCTCCTTTGACAGTAGACGCAGGAAAGTCATTTGGACTGTGACAGAATTTGTCGATTGATCTTTATTACCATACGTGAACTGAAAAACAAAAATAAATGTATTAGGTTATATACCAGAAGGAACGTCACTGCAATCTCTAGTTTACCTAAAAAATAATCATTACATTTATTAAAATTAAGGCTTTTTTCTTTAATATATTTCTGTTTCTGTGATCAGACAAACAGGAAAGAGACAGCTTCAACAGGTCAGTTTCAATATGAAGTCATCTGCTAATATTTGGCTGTGTCTTAAATTTTGTCTTTGAATTTGATTCTGAGCATCAGTATGGATTTCCATTGCAGCTTTTAGTTTATCTTCTTATTTTTGGTATCATCAACAAGCCTGACTAATTTACTAACGGTAGATTCTAAGTAAGTCAAGATTCCAAACCTAGTTTTTAATTTATGTGGGAGAATATTATATATTTTATATAGATTGTAGTTTGATATTTTGGTGAGTTCAGTCAATACTCAAGATGATTCTCTTGGTAATTCAGACATATATTGTGTTTATAATCTGCCTTTATCTAATAACAATAGTCCAAAATCTGTGTCTTAAAATAATTGAATCTCCGTAACAGTGTCAGGCTCATACAGACACAGGCTCATACACAGACATATGGTTTGAACTTACATGGGCTCCTCCATTCATGTTAGCTCCAAACCAGATAGGCTTGTAGTCTGTGGGATTTGTGGTTCCCCACCATGTCTTGCGGGGTATGCTAGATGGGTTTGCAGAAATACATGTCTCGCCAGTATCCATATTACAATACACCTTTATAGCATCTTCAGCACATCCCTGATTTGGATCAACCCAGTATTCACCTGTAATGCAATTAGAATATTTTTCATACTGTATGTCATTTTCTTCAAAACAAGAAATCATTTCAAACCTCTGTTAGTCTAAATGGTTGTTTTCTTTACAGAAAAATAAGCATAGAAATAATAACTGATTAAATAAAATCATTGTATAAAGTATAATAATCACTTTTTTACTCAAATATATGGAAATAACAGATACTTCTGTTTCAAGTACCATATTATAAAACTTTACATTTTCAGTCAAATGCTCTGATATGTGCACTTTCAACTCATCGTTCTGTTTTTATTCTGTAATCTCTTTTAGTTGTAAAAAATGCATATTGATGCACTTCTTCCTGTCAATACTACAGGCATGCAGGTATTTGGCACAGTACCAAATTCCTGGTTATGTGGAAAGTCTAGGATTCTTTGACCTTTCAAACCACACCTTGGCAGCTTGTGGTTTATTGTACCTTCATGCTTGAGAAATCATTGTCACAGTTCTCTAATTACTGTACAAAACCTAGCTTTGAACCAGTGATGTCTGGACTTGTACATCACATCTTGTCAAATGAACTTCACATCTGGCTGAGGCACATTGAAGCCCTGGATTTAGTATTTTGACATATTTTGAATGAATTTATTTATTTTAAACATACCACTCTTTTTCTGTGGGTAACATTGTTTCAGGTCTTCACAGGTTCTGGCTGGATTTTTCTTGGTGCCATCAGGGCTGCGCATGCTGTCTATCTGACTACTGAGAGCCTTCAGTGTGGCATGAACTCCAGGGTCCGTTTTAAAAGAATCGGTTTTATTGCTGTTTGGAAGAGCTTCATCCTCACTGAATTCTGGAGGAGGTGGGGGACCAACATCATAATCCTGAGTGTCTAAGAAATCCTCCATTGCTGCAGTTGGAGGACCAGGAGAACCAGGAGGACCAGGTGGACCGGGGTCTCCAGGAGGTCCCTGTAACAGAAACACCAAATTGATATTGAAACTCAGAGACCTAGCAAGCACCCAGATGAAGAACCTGAACTAATAATAAAATATCTAAACAATTTTCACTTTACCCAAAGGAATGTATTTGAATACTGACTTCATCTTAAAATTAAATAAATACAAAATACTAACAGAAAGCTTTCTGTTTTCTGTATTTATCTATTGTTCTTATCTGTCTAGTATTAACCTAAGGAACAAGTAATAGGTTTATTCCATGCTGAAAAAAAGAAGAAAGAGAACACAACATTTCGGCTGTGGAGCCTTCTTCAGGCCGTGGAGCCTTCTTCAGCCTGAAGAAGTCTCCACGGCTGAAACGTTGTGTTCTCTTTCTTCTTTTTTTCAGCATGGAATAAACCTATTACTTGTTCCTTTGCAGCCTACGCATGCTGACGCAGCTACCCACCTGAACTAGTATTAACCTATGTCTTTTTTCTTGAATTACTCTACTGATATCTGAGTTTGGAATTAAAAGTAAATAGACACAGAATGTTGCACTCACAAAATAGTGAGAGAAACTCATTACATATATTTTAGTTCACATGTGTTGGTAAGAGTAACTGATAAAAGAAAATATTTTTTTAACAAAACCTATGACAGATAAAGCATCACACACAAAAACATTTATTATATAATAAAATGAGATACACTGATGTACATTTTGAAAGATATTTCTAATGGTGCTCAGTTTGTTCAGTTTCCTGAGGAGAATAAGAAGCAATAGCTTAAATATAAATCATTTTAATTTAAATTTGAACATCATGAATGTTTCACTTATAAATCAGTACAAGATTGGATCATGTATTTTATTTTATATAATGCATAATAACAAAATGAGTTGCACCTCAGCATTAGTTTACCAGGAAAACAATGTTCTTTTCTTGCAGTTCAAGTGACATACCTCAGGCCCAATTTCACCACTTATTCCTCTTGAACCAGGTGGTCCCATTGGGCCAGGATGCCCAATGTACCCTTCCTTTCCAGGAGGGCCAACTGGTCCTGGTGGTCCCTAAAATAGCAACAGTATGATTAAGAATGTTTACTCAAATTCATTGCAAAAAACATGCTAACAATTGGGAATATGCTTACTCTGTGACCATGAGGTCCAACAATTCCAGCAGCACCTTGTTCACCAGTTGTACCCTAAATAAAAGAGAATAGTTCAGGTGTTTTCATTTATCAATTACGGCTCTGATAGCAGAATAAAAACCATAAATAGAAAGAATACTGCTTACGTACAGGGGGTCCAGGCAGGCCCTGCAATCCTGTAAAACCTCTATGACCCTTCTGGCCTCTTTCACCTTGATCTCCAATATCTCCCTTGTCCCCTCTTGGACCTTGAGGACCCTATAATTACAGATAAAATGTGAAAATCAGAATCACAAAAACAAAATAAAAATACATCACATTGATCTTGCTTATTGTTAAGGCTCTAGAAAATGAAGGACAAATTTGTTCTGATTCAATCTGGAAAAAGTTCATGGTGGCCGTAAGTATTAGCTTTGGAAAAGTCTAATTGATTTGGTCACAGTATTCAGTAAAATCATTAGTCTGCTGTTATTGCTTCAGATTGTACTCTACACAGGCGACTGTAAGAAGCATTGCCAATCAATAGTTATGGCACATTTATTGACCCCTGTAACTTTATCTTCACTTGTACATGATTATGTACTTTTCTTCTTTAGTAATATAAACACCTTCATGGATTTGTTTGTCCAGTCATCAAACCTAGTAGAAAACTATGATAAGACATTTTATCAAAAATGTAAGCACAGTTTCACTGAATCAAAAAAGATTAAAGCATTAATTTCCTAGTACAGTAACATCGTCAAAGTAGATTTTGTCCAAGAATTGTACCATTTAAACTTTACACAGAGTACACAAAGTAGCACTTTCCAAAGCATTACAAATACAGCACATGGGTCACTGATTTTTCAGATTCTTCATACATTATATTTTACAGTGAAGGAAAAGCAAATGACCTGTGTTGAAATTGTAGTAGCCTAACATGCAGCGCAGCTGTACATCTGGTGAGCTGAGATGAAAATAGTATCAAAAAAACAAACTTACAGGTAATCCCCGTTTTCCTGCAGTTCCCGGGGGACCAACAGGTCCACGTGAACCCTGCCATAAGAAAACATACATTCTAAGATAGGAAAACTGATTTTTTAATTAAATACTACTTTTATAGTGTACAGACATGCATAGGAATGACTGTAATGTTTCTTTATTTATTTTCTTTATTTATTCTAATACTAATCAACATTATGTTTACGGTATAAAATCAAGGACTAGAGCAACTGATTGAAGTAGCAGAAAGGAATACTTCAGTGGAAGAAAATGTTGTTGTGATGAGACAGTGATAAGTACATTATAAAAATTTTCATGACATCACTACTGAAGCATGAAAGTTATTTCAGAATGATGCATATTTCCATTGCCTGTAGCACTGTATCCATAAAAAAGGAATAAAGTTCATACTTACACTGTCTCCTCGTTTTCCTGGATCCCCTGTAGGACCAACAGGTCCTGGAGAACCAGGGGCTCCTTGTGAGCCTGGAAGGCCAGCAGGACCTGGATCACCACGATCTCCCTATAGTGGAAACACAAAGACCAATATTAGCTAACAAGATAATAAGACCACTACATTAATAACATAAAACATAAAAAATAGATAATAACATAACTACACAACAAATACATCAACTGGGACTCTTTCCTTACCCTGGCGCCTAGTACTCCATCACGACCTGGAGGACCATCTGGCCCAGGAGGTCCCTGGGCAAACAAAAAAAGATAGGAGCATGAATGTTATTTTGATAAGAGCAATTTTTACTTTGTTCTTCGGAGAGCATCTGTTTACTAATTGAAGAAACGGTCTGATAACAATAATGCAGTGTTTCATAACCTGCAGCCCTACTAATCTATTCCATTGCAGAATTTAATCACCAGTTCCTTTATCAATAAATCGGTAATAACCAAGCTAAAAAAATAAACATGCAGGTTGTAACATGGCCTAAACCAATGTAATGGAATCAGATGTCAGCATGTTCAGCTGCTCTGGGTTATGGTTCTTGAAAGGCTCTCAGCTCCCTGTGCTAACTTTTGCTGAGTGCGTAATTATCTTAGAAAATGAAAATGATTTCCTCTGATGAAATTGCAGTGGGGTTTCATTTCACTTAATCCAATCTCTCTGTCTACAATAACGTGGTGGTACGCCTTTATACATTCCTTTGTTTTGTGCACATTCCAGCATCAGTGTCCATAAATAAAACTAAATCCAAACATTAATAAGAAGTCAAGATGAACACGTTATTAGTTACCTCCAGTCAAGATGCAATCTGATAAATCTTGCATAATATGAATTTATGTTAAAAGTGTAACAAACAGTTCTTTAGGACCCTATGTGGATGACACTTTCCGGAGAAGTGAGGAAACACTGGCGAAAAAGTCATGCAGGAATACAGGGATGAAAACAGGGGGGCGTGTCCATGCAGTGCTGGTGATCCGGGGAGGTGTGGCTGAGGCAAACAATCCAAAGGATAAGTCCAAGGGAGAATCCAAAAAACAAGCAAAAGTCCATGGCCGGGTAATCCATCCAAAACAAGGGATTAAAAACAGGTGACGGGTCGGGACCAGCGGGGGGAACAGGAGCAGGAGCAGGAAGCTAAAAGCATAACGGAGCCAGGCGCAACCAGGTCCCGGGCTCGCACAATGTGGAAATCAGATGCAGAGCCACGATTGGCGACTGCGTCTGGCTTTTAAAGGGAAACAGGAAGGAGACTGGAACAAGGGGCAGGTGTGGGGAATGGGGCAAACAAGGAAGAGCCGGAGCGCCCTTAAGGAGGAGGGACTACAATCGTGACAAAAGCACTTCCAAAGATGGAGTTAATTGGGATGAAGGGATAACTTACATCTGGGCCAGGATCTCCTGCAGGGCCATTTGCTCCTGGAAGCCCAACTGGGCCTGAAGGACCTTTGTCTCCTGTAGGGCCAGTGGCACCTTGTTTTCCTGGTGGGCCCTTCAACAAGAGATTAAGCATAATTTGTTTAATATGATCAACTGAATGTGTAAGACCACATATCATTGCCAAATACCCCTCAAACATGCGACCTGTATTGCATTGCTATGTTATTATATTTCAGTGCAGAGAACTAAAATATTTAATTATCTGTAAGATATTACATCTTACACTGCATTATGGATCCTTGGCATGCCTGATGAGTGCCAAGACCTGGTCTGCCACTCTTACTGTCAGACAAAGACAAAAGTGAGGTGCTCTGTGGCCATTTTTTACTTGTCAGTAATGCATGGAGCAGGTAGGCACAAGGCTATATGAGTATTATACAATTATTTGTTTCGGTGAAAGAAAAATATTTTGTCACCAAATAAAGTAGTTTCTGTCTCATGTCATCATCAGAGAGGTGGAACATGAATATTTGAGTACATTACATTTGCTGAAACCTCATTTGTGATGATATGCTGGGGAAATACTATGGGTGGAGACCCAGACTAAACAACAATACTGCTAATCAGTGAGCAACATTCACTTTTATTATTATAAGTGAGTTCTAGAAATGTATGAATACACTTCTAATTAAGTAGTAATTTATGTATCATGCATCAGTATTTTGCTTTGTGTATAATAGATTAAGTTCCCAAAATAAACTATTGTTTTAATCAAATCAGTTATGTATTAAAATGTATAATAATTTACTATAATATATTAAAGAATATACTAGATATAATATTATATAATAATAATTTAAAAAATATTTTGATGTGTTGTATCGCTAACTGACTGAAATTTATGGTATGTTTATTCTGAAACATTTATGTTTCAGTAGAATACTATACTGATCCTATTAAGTTAATCAACTAAATACATGTTGTGTGTATAGTGTTCATACCATAGTTATGAGTTCAATGTGTTTAATATGATCAACTGAGTGTTACTGAAGCTTGATAAAATATTTTGAAACAATCCCGCACTCTAGAATTAAAACCATTTAAAAGTTTCAAAGATCAGTTTTACAGAGATGTGCCATGCAGAACATTGAGATTAAAGGGCTAGTACTGATACATACAGATGGCCCTGGAAGACCTGGCATTCCTCTCTCTCCCCTCTGCCCTGGCAGTCCTACAATCCCTCTCTGTCCTGTTGTTCCTGGAGGACCTGGAGGGCCATCGGGACCCTGTGGAGGAAGAACACATACAGTACAACTGTTGTTTTGAACATATTCATTTACAGGTTTGCACATTGTGTAAAGAGCATATGGAACATAAGAATACATTGAAATGTTTATGCCTCAACCACTGAAACTAGATGGGCTTGGATCAGCCAGGGTATCCTCGTCTTTCCACAGAACCGCTATGGTTGTTGTTTTTTCAAAGATTTTTGTTCTGCTAGTGAGAGCTCAAAGCAATGCCAAATTCACCTACTGTATAACAGCACTTTGGATCAAATAGTAACTATAAAATAGCACAGTGAACTGTAGGAAATAGAGATTAACTCTGATAGATTCTTAATTCCAAGAGAAGTGTTAACTGCCCTCACTTCACTCTCTTCCGGTACAAGGTGAGTGTGAATGGAGCGGATGCACACCTGCTGACTCCTGATTGAAAAGGTTTCAAAAGGGGAACAATATAATGCAATTTAGAGTTAAAAAATCCTTCCGCTTTGTGTTTTAACTTTCTATCCACTTACAGGTGTATGTATATATTATACTTTTTTAATTCCACTCTGTAATTCTAAAACTCATAAAGCTGGTCCAACATTTTGTAATGGTTTAAAACATGCTGTTCTTGTTGAGAGTGTGAATCAAACTGATGAACTCAGTTCTTACGGTTGGCCCGTCTTCTCCAGAATCTCCTTTGTCTCCAGGGCTGCCTGGCGGGCCAGCAGGCCCTCGCTCTCCATGGCGCCCAGGTGGTCCAGTGTCACCACGGAGCCCTGGAGGACCTTCCTTCCCAGGAGGACCAAGTGGTCCAGGCTGACCCACTGGACCCTGGAAAAACCAGCATTAAAAATCTCAATCTTTACTACTTAGTTCCCCCATTCTTTTTTGTGCATAGTTTTACTGCTGTTGGGATACTTTAAATTGTTTGTCTTCATAAATTGACTAATACTGGATGAAATCTATTTCACGTTAATTCGCGAGCCATACCGTACTTTGTCATCAGTCATGAAAAGTGATTTCAAGATATAGCTTATCTTGAAGCTTGTGTGCTTATTAAAAACATAAATTTGTCATGTCAAAGTTATAGAACCATGTATAAATCTAGATATTTTAAGATCAGTTCTCTGAACCTATGACAAATTCAGTGTTTGAAATACCAGTAAATGAGATTATATAGAAAAAAAATGTCTTCCATTCTGACTGAAAGGTGATGTTGAGGCATCACTGCTGTTTCTTTTATCGTAGTTATGAATTATTGTTACGGCTTATACATTATAAGTATGTCAACCCATGAAATATATTGGTTTTAGTTAACAGTGACATGATACTTATAATGTTGACTAAATGTGATACAAAATCATAATACACTGAGCTAGCATACATTGCTATTATAGCATACATTAATTAAGTAATGACGACCAACTTACAGTTGAGCCAGGTGGACCAACCCTGCCTGCAGGTCCAGGAAAACCGGTGACACCCTAAAAAGAAAAACAAGTATTATTTGTGAATCATGGCACATGGAAACACATTTTATTGATGTGTCATTAAGGTCTTGTACATACTGGTGGTCCCTGAGTGCCTCTGCCGCCTTTCAGTCCTGCAACTCCTGGAGGTCCCTATGAATAGAAATGAGATAAAACATCAATTTTTATCCTCTCTTCAAAAATGCTGTAGGTTCTGTAACCATATTTAATCATTTTGACTCACTGGAGGCCCATGAGATCCAGCCAGTCCCTGTGGACCAGGGGATCCAGCATCACCTTTCTGCCCAGGCTCTCCTGGTTCACCCTTCACACCAGGCTGCCCATCAGGTCCCTGGAACACAGAGGTCAAGATGGTTTTAAACTCCAGTTTACAGATAATTTCTCACAAACTGTATGCAGTCAATGGACCTATATGTGGGGTATTCAGATTTGGGTAATTTTGCATCACCTTTTATACCCAGTTTATGGTTCATACTCTAATGTCTTAATACTATACAAATAGCTGATATAATCTGGATTTGAACATAAATGGGTAGGCCTTGGTTTCTAGAAGCCTGTGTTTTTTTTTTACACTAGCAGCCCAGAGACAGTGAGAAATGAATGTCATTAATTGCAGTGATAATAACCATGAAATTTCTGGACCATGTTAATAGATTGAAGAATGGATTGAAGAACAATGAATTTATACTGTCTATCCATTCATTTTCTAACTGCTTCTTTCAATTCAGAAACACTGGGAAGCCAAGCACAAAGCAGGGCCAATTTTCCCAGAAGCCAATTAACCTATTAGTATGTTTTTGGACTTTAGACACCGGAGCAGCTGAAGAAACCCACACTTACATGGGGCAAACACACAAACTTCACACAGATAGCACACCACGACCACAACTGAACCCAGACCCCTAGCACTGCAAGACACCAATGGTAACCACTTTGGCACCATGCTACCCTTTATACCATCTAGCAGGATAATTTACAACATATTTGAAAACTTACAGGTGGACCAGCAAATCCCACTGGACCAGTAGGTCCTGGCTCACCACGAGATCCCTATTAGAAATGCATTGAAAACAAAATTACAAACGCATAAAACCATCAGCAGACATTTACTTTGCTTTAAACATATTATTATTAAATAAAAATAGCGTACTCTTTGCAAAACAAGTACATGATGTATTTAAAAAATTGACTAGAAAACACACAAGTCACTATTTGGTGATCAAAGGCATGCAATAAAACCATAGTAGAAAGAAAATGTTCTAAAAATAAGTCTTTAATTTATAGATTTCAAAAGTGCAGCTACAGATGTGTTTTGAGAGCATGTAATGAGGTTTGTAGCCATGTTCTGGATGCTGATACCCTGGCTTCTTTCATGAAACATCTGGATGAGACCCTTGGATCACTTTGCTAGTAAAAAAACAGGCTAGATGGGCCTAACGGCTTCCTCTAATTTGTTAACAATCTTATGTTGTTTGATTAATCAGTACTATATGAATAAAGAAAAGTTCAGTTTTGCTATTGCTTTTCTAAATAATGTTTTTGTTTTAGTAGACAAACTGACTTCATCATTAATTACCAAGACAGTGTTTGCTCCATATGACAGGACTTTGGTTACTGCTCATGTGACACCATCAGTCTATTGACTAGTTTATTCCCAGGGGAATAACAAATGTCTACTTACAGGGCTTGCTCGGGATCCAGGAGGACCAGGAGGCCCTTTAGGACCAGGTTCACCCTGAAATAAAGCCATAGAAATTTGTGAGATGAAGGACATTGTGATAATTGAATGTGAAACTTTTGTTTTTCAGAAACTGGCATGTATACTCACCTTCTCACCACTGGGTCCATGTGGTCCAGGTGGCCCAAGTGGCCCAGGGAGTCCCTGCCAGCACAGTAAGATGTCAGCTTAGCAATAATACAGTCATAGTGTAACTACTGTTCACTGGCATGCACGCACTGGAATACCGAAAAATAAGTATCTCCACTGACACAGCAACACTATATGTGATGTAAACTACAAGGATTACATTTTATTTCAGTGCCCATGTACACCAAACACCATTTGGGTCACTTTAGAGGGCAAAAACAAAAACACACAAAAACAGAGAAAAATAAGATAAAAATAACATTAATCAGAAATAAAGAAACAAAGAAAGAGATAAACAATGGAAAAAAGATAAAGCAGACCCTTATTAATAGTCTGACTGAACAGATATTTATTGAGTGCAGACTTAAAAACTGTAAAAGTTTACATTTCTCAGAGTGGCAGGAAGTGAGTTCCAGAGTTGTGGAGCAAGGTGGCTGAAAGAAGGCTCCAGGAAAAGCTTGTACGAGTAAGAAGGTACTACTGTTTCTATTATGAGCTAGTACATTATTTTACATTCCTCAGATTCAAAGTCAACACAAAGAGTTTTAGAAATGTTAAAAATGTCACTTCCATACTTCACACACAGCATTTACAGTATAAGCACGTGCCTTTAAACCAGCCATTGGCATTCCACAAGCAGTTTCATAATAATATATTTTTATTCTTGTACAGCATGTGCATAAGTGTCTGTTTTAAAAGTGTGCTGTATCACGTAAAATATGCCATCATATACTTAAAAACTGAATATTGTTCTATGGAGTGTAAAAACGTGAGACTGTATTAGAACTAAAGCCAAGGAAAGGAAATTGCTTCTGTACCTAGTCTGCACATACGGTATTCTGTGTACCCATACCCATGCTTATTTTAACTCTAAAGATAATCTACTGTATAATAATATTACCTTTTGATGCTTATCAGAATTTGAATAATCATGGACTACAATACATGCACATTTCTTTACTGAAATGTACATTAACTAATTTCCAAAGGTTTATTATTATATTGTCATTTCATTGAGAATATGATCAACTAATTTTTCTATATAGCATATTGGCATCCATCACATACCAGGAGCTCCACCATAAGGAAGATTAATATAGAGAAGTAAGAAATTGCTTCACCAGTTGAATTTAAGGAAATGTTTATGAAGGACAGAGTGTAAAAAATAATGGTGGAAATTAACCGGGACTTTGGTATAAAATGGTAAAAAGGACAGTATACAGTAAATACTTGGTGGTAAGACAAACAGTGCCATGAGATTTAATTACCAATAATTTAAAAGTTTTGTTTAATGAAGGATGACACCACCTACAGCACCTTTTCCTGGTCAGCAAACTGTGGGTACTGATTTTGGAAACACCAGTCCATATTGACTGAATGCCATTTACTGGTCTAGCAAAAATCTTGATTTTCCTTTGGAAATCTAGGCTTATCCTTGCTTAGCTTCTGAGAGCTAATGAGATCAGGCTACAAGTTGGTAAATCAACTGTACAGTACCTCTAGCACCAATTTTTTTGTAAAAGTCTTGTGGAGATGTGTACTCTTTTAACTAGACTGTGATTTCTACACATAGATGAAAACATACATAATTGACGTCTTCATTTAAAAACCTTTAATATAAAGGATGTATATGATTTGAATATAAAGATATATAATATGATTACACACACAATACCACGCAGATTTTTAAAGTTTCTGTAACTTACTCTAGCACCATCATTACCAGGGGTACCCTCTGATCCTTTTTCTCCTGAAGCACCCTTAAAACAAAGGAATTGTTAGAAAGTAGAGGACACTATAAAATTATGTACAGTATCTACTTTATATTTTTGAATAGCATGTATGAAAACATACTCTGTCCCCTTTGGGCCCAGGTGGACCTGAGATTCCTCTCTCCCCTGGCATTCCCTGGAGACCAGGAGGACCAGGGTCACCAAGAGCTCCAGTAGGACCTGGGCTACCCTGATGGACAAGAAGAAAACAATGATAAAAGTCTTTTAGCCTTACACAATCCAAGGATTTCAGGTTTATTTAGTTTTTAAGACACGTTAAAGTATACTAGGAAAATTAGTAAAAAAATTATGTAATACAAATATTTAACTGGAACACAATCATGTATGTAATACAAATGTAGATTGTGAAATGTAATGTTTTTGGGAACAGTCATTCATAGAGCGCTCTATTACAATTGATGTATGCTTGTACTAAATTAAAAACAAATGCAACTTACGAATCCAGTTGTCATGGCCAGTACTTACTGGACATCATAATATATATATATATATTTTTTTAGCCGGAGGATATTTTCAGATTCCTCATAATAAGTATGTGATGACAGGGCTGAAAGTGTTTTATAAAACATTTCTAAATCAGATAAACAGTGATCCAGGAAAGGATTTACAGAATTAGAATGGTGAAATTAATGGTGAAAGTTTTCCTTCCCCCAAAAAGTGGAGCATTTACCTTTGGTCCATCTGGTCCAGGTGCTCCTGGGATACCTTTGGGTCCCTGAAGACCGTGAGCACCCAGTTCACCTCGCTCACCTGGAATTCCACGCTCTCCCTATTAAAATAAGAGTTGAGAAAGTAAAAGTAATAAAGTCAATCAAGGCTTTGTACTTGATGGTTATGCTCAACCAACTAGAGAACACTTACCCTTGGACCTATTTGGCCAACAGCGCCTGCGTCACCAGGAATACCCTAAAAATTAAATACAGAAATTAGGTAAACATTTTAAAGCTATAATAAACTTTTTCCAAATCTTTATGGATAATTGTTTAATCCATTATCCAGGTCCTACATACCTGATCTCCTGGTTTTCCAGACTCACCAGGAGGACCAGGGGGTCCAGGTAAGCCCTGTAAAAACAATTGTAACTTAATTTAAAACAAAAGGACAACTACTACCCAAAGAATTATAATTTCATCTAAAGTGGAGCTTAATTTTAAACTAGAAACACATCATGGTGTGGGAAAGTAAAGTAATTATATGAGTGAGTTAATTTGCAATGAAGTGTGGCTTTGTGTTATGAAATGCTTCATGGACTAACTAAACAATATCCATGAGGTCTTTGATTGTCATAATAATAATTCTCTTCCTACGCTCCCCCTACTCTTTTAGCAATTTACAACATTGGTTTTAAATTTTGAAAATGATTTATCTTAATTCAAGATACATATATTGAAAAATACAAAAAATGTTATACTCAATGGTCTGCACTTTATAGATAATGTTGTTATCAGTATTACAAGGGACCCAAGCCAGCATGACTTTAGTACCTTTTTTCAGACAAAAAATATCTTTCTAGATAATTATTTTTTGTACCTGGAAACCGGTAAGACCAGGAGGCCCTTGCTCCCCTCTTTCTCCTGCTGGTCCCTTTGAAGATAGAAAATATGAATATCTGTTAGAATACATACTTTTTAAACCTTGACTGTGGCTTATTGGGTATGAACAAAAACCCATCTTTCAAAATCAAAGTCATCGTGAAGCCTTGATCAATGTCTCTGCCATGGCCTTGTCCATATTCTTATGGCTTATTTCTGGAATCAAAATGATTATAGAAAAATATAGATGGGGAAACAAAGAAGAGCAGTAGGGCATCAAATTATATGATATTTTTACTACTTAATAAAAATGGTGCAATGGAATAATTGTATTTCTTTTCTTGAATAAATGATTTATCATGAAATCCCCAAGAACCCATTTTCAATATCTGTTTAGCCCAATACAAGGTCAAGATGAGCCAAAGAAGTACCTGGCAGATAATGGGCACAAGAGATGATAACCCATGATAACCCTTGGATGGAATGCCATTCTATTTCAGAGTTCACTCACAATATAAAGTTTAGGATAAGAGACAAGTTAGAGATGCCAAGCAACCAATTCAATGTTCTCTTGAATGTGGGAGGAAACCAGAGCACCTGGCAAAGCCCACATGATCACAAGGATAACATGCATACAGTATGCCTCATAGAGGGTGCTCCCTTCCAGAATCAATGTTAACTGGCATAAAGCTGGGGCACCCCAGTTAAAATTATATTGTCTAAAAATGATCAAACAGGCAATACTTACAGCTGGCCCTCCTGGCCCTGCAGGGCCAACTTCTCCATCTTTACCGGGTGGACCCTAAAATAGATAGAGTGACATACAGTATATGAGCTGCTCTATTCATTCAAGCCATGCTTACAAAAGACATACTTTACAGTGACACTTACTCTTTGTCCAGGAACCCCTGCAGATCCCTGCTCACCAGTCTTTCCTGGATCTCCCTAGGAACACAAGTTGAAGGTGTGTATTTATTATAAATAGGTGAACTATTTATATTAACAATTAGGCTACTGAATATTCATGTACTGTAGATTATTGTATTATTCCATACAATAATTTATTTTAAATGTTAAATTTATTTGTAAATTAAAAGTAATTATTGAATAAGTATTTACATTAAAACCCTTTGGTCCAGGTAACCCCATGATTCCTGGCAGTCCTCTTGTTCCTATTGATCCTGCTTGCCCTGGACGGCCATCCTCCCCGGATGGACCCTAGAAATATCCAAATGAAAATTTAACATATAGTTTTTTTGGTACAGATTTCAACACTTATTCAGGTTCTTTAGCTATTTTCAAATACATACCACTGGTCCAGGTTTTCCTTCAGCACCCTGAACCCCAGGATTCCCTGTAAGACCCTGAAATAGAAAAGGTAATGCTGTCTCCTTTAACAATTTATTTCAAATGCTTTCAAGGTAGAGAAACAGGTGGAATTGAATAATACATCACATTCATCCCCACACTTTTTACATTTTTTACCATAAATAATTTCATAATTATCTGTATGCAGATAGGTTTATTACCGTTGCCCCTGGTAGGCCAGGTTCCCCAGTGCGTCCAGGATCTCCTAGGGCCCCTTTCGGACCAGAGGAACCAGTTGGACCACGGTCTCCATTTGCACCCTGGAATAACATACAACAGATGCAACTAAGATACAGTATCTACCAACGTGAAAAAAATATTCATTGGTACAAACAATAGAATTTCAAACCTAAGTCTTACCTTAGGACCAGGTAAGCCATCTGCACCATGGAAACCTCTGTTACCAGGAGCCCCCTTAAATCAAGAAAATATCCCTAATTAGTGCATTGGATCACTTTTTGTAGAAATTGAATTTAATTGAATGGAATAGAGTGGAGTGGAATGGAATTATTTTATTACTACTTATTTAAATTTACAGTATGTTGCTCCAAAAATGCTAAGTGAATATGAGAAAGACAAATTACTCACTCTTTCACCAACAGGACCTGGAGGGCCAACTGACCCTGGGTCTCCCCGAGGTCCTCTTTTGCCTTCTTCACCCTGGGGCCCAATTGAACCTTGAGCACCAGGTGGACCCTACGGAAACAATAAAATGTTTAAAAACTGGACTCAAAACACTTTGTTCAGACAGGAAAAATACATGGGTCATATTTTAAACCCAAATAGATACATGATAATAACATAAGAATTGGAAAGTTATTTAGTATGAAATGTCAACACACTGGATTCGGAGTAGCTACAGTAGATGAGATATATGTCAATATTTAACATTTTATTTTATTGTATATTGTTAAATATATAATACCCAGTGAGAAATTTTAGAATGCATGTTTCGTATTGATCATTACCATCTACCATTTGATCATGATCATTTAAAATAATATTTTTTATACTACAGTATGTAGGTAATATACAGTAGCAATCATTATTTAATCAACCAATATCAAGCTTAATGTCTTACTGGCTCTCCTTTAGGTCCTGCCTCTCCTTTAAACCCAGGGACACCAGTGTCTCCCTAAAACAATGGAAAGGGGCACATAAACATACTGACAACTTTTTTATTTTAAACTATTTGAATGGTCACACTTTTACTTCACTTTTAATTTAAATTGATTTCATGTTAACATTCTGTTCTTCTCCAAATCCAGACATTTTTTTTCAATAAAAGATCTTTCACAATAAAGCTTAGCTGGAAATCAAGAAACAATGGTATAATTAACAATGGAATTATTCACAATCTTTCTAAAATTAAAATGACAACTTTGATTCTTTTCATACGGTATAAGATTATTTAGATCTGTGAAAAATAATAAAATATTGTAATGAAACAATGTTGCAAACACATGTCATCATCAGTTATACATTTGTGGCATGCAATATTGCTATATACTTAAATATAAGCCTGTATCATTGTGACCCCTTCTATAATCATCTTATGAATCATTCTAGTACAACATTACCAGTTGACCTTTGATCCCTGGTGGTCCAGTGCTTCCCTGAGGTCCAGGAGGTCCTGGTGGGCCAAGCAGACCATGTGGGCCTGAAGGACCCACAGTTCCCTAATAAAATAGTCATGTCAGTTATCCCTTTTAATCTAACTTTAATTGTCAAAACGTGTATGATATTAATTATTGGTTCTAGCACTTTTAAACCAGAGCCAATTTTTAACATGGTCATGTTAACTTTAAAATGAAATATAAAGGTATAGACATTTCTGTACTTACTGCCGGCCCCTTGGCACCTGGACCTCCATCTGTCCCAGTAGGACCCTAAAAGAATCGATTTATGTAAGTGATCAAGTCATAAAAGGCAAATATAGGGAATTTATTACATATTTTAATAACAGCAAGAAATTGTTACAAACTTGAAGGCCAGGTGCGCCAGATTTGCCTTGATGTCCTGTTTCTCCCCTCTGTCCTTGAGGACCCTCAGGACCTCGAACACCTGTGGGACCAGCGTCTCCCTGAAAAACAGGCAAAACAATCTGAATGTAGTTCTTCTTTTTATTAAGGGAGTCATATGTGAAAAACCAGGAACACCTTGTATGTACTGCATACAATCCCGTTTTACAAATTCAAAATTCAAATGAAAGCATCAAAGGTGGGGGAAAATAAATTTAACCAAAAATGTAAATACAAAAGGTAAAAGCAAATTCATTTGTAACATCTCAGTTGTAAACGTAAAATTTAACATATTTATTAGGTGTAGATGACAAACAGTACATCGTTTATTTCATTTTTGTGTTTCAATATTTTCCTTTTGTAGGCTAGGTGTCCTTCTTTAAAAGGACAACTGATTAAAAGCCATGGTACGATAAAGACAAACTCAAACCAAAGTGTTTCATGTTTATGTCAGATCAAGGCCCACACATCCTTTATTTTGAGATGCTCAATTTACCTATAGATCCTGCTAACTTTATATCCAAAACTCTATTTACACCAGCTTACCTTTAAACCAGGGTTTCCTGGAAAACCAGGGGGACCGCTTATTCCTAGGGGACCCTGAGAAATACAAAAACAGTGCCTGAGGTTAGAATGTAGTTTTGATTTATTGTTATTCTATTGTTACTTTTAACAATCATAGAATGCCCTCACTATAATTTTTTCAATTTAATTAAACATGCTTCGTGGCAGTGTGCAGAAATAATATGCAGGAAGAAATTATTTTTGGTATTCTCATATATATATATCTCATATATAAAAATACCTACAGAGTACACAAGACCAAATTGAATCTAAAATATGTAATGAAAATGTGTTACAATTACTAATATACTGTACAGAAATTACCAGAGGTAAAAACTTAATTCTAACTTTATAGTGTTACATTTTTGTAGGCTTTTCAGCTGTATTCCCTTTATACAGTAAATGCTGTATATAGTACAGTACATTCAAAACCGGCATGTTTTCTTACCATAGGACCTGGTTTACCGACATTGCCAACAGGACCGCGCATTCCCTAGGAAGAATGGAAAAGTATTCATTTGTTATGAAATGATCCATTCTGCCATTATCAGAAAGCCCCTTATTGTGATGCAACACAACAAGGCAACAAACCAAAGAAAGAGAGGGGATTTATACCACACATCTGTTCTCTCATTGATTGAAAGGCCCATCACAGGGCAACAGAGAAGCCCACACTTTAAAATACCCAAATCAAGCCTAGTAAACATGTCTCTGGGTGCTGGATGGAAACTGGTAAACCCCAAGAAAAGGGTAACTCTGAAGAGGCATATTCTTGTGACATATTCTTTGTTGCTGCCTTTTATGTTTTAAAATCATATAGACAATCATTAATGTAGTGATTACATTGAACTTGTTCATCAAGTTAATAAAAGTATCTTAAGTAACTTTCTAGCTATATGATATTATATTCGTCAGATGTTTGAGGATTTCTTTGTGTAGACACTAATTTGCTCTGTTAAATCAATGGCAATGAAGTTTTATTTAGATTGGGCTGTGGGAGCTGTGTGACATCTGGACATTGCAAGGTTTACATTTCAGGGGTTTAGAGATATTCTTTCCATGCTGGTGTTTAAATATACTTTTGATCCAAATATGTATTTGTTCTTGTGCAGAATTAAGTTTTTTGTAAGGGTACATTTGAGGTGGTTCATGTTGTATCTGTGTATAAAAAGCATATAGAAATGTCAGATCTAGAAATAAAACCTAGATCTGAGGGAAGGAGAGAAAGCTGGTGTCTCCCTGCTGAAGTGCCTTTTTGTAATAATCTTATTTCAAAACTACAGTTCACTGAACTATGCTCTTCCATCCCTCCACTAAAAATATTATCCTTCTTTTATGTTAGCCATTGTCTAAGTATCTGTTGTTTTTTAAATCTCTATTTGTATTTTTTGTTTGTTCATGTTACTAATTAGGCATCTAGACCTAGATCAGTACTTGACACCTACTTGTTGAGCTCTTGGGAGCCCATGCTTATTAAATAATGAGCCATAAGTTTTTGTTTATTCATTTAGAGATAAAAAGATATCATAAATTACTGCTTTATACTGGAGGCAGAGGTACTTGGATAAACTTATCCTAGATAAACTACCATCCAAGAAGGGATTAGCGTAATGATATAGCATGTTTACATGATACATGACTAAAACTGATTGAATTTTCCCATATTTCTTTTAAATTAAGGCCTTTTTTATTTGTTTTATTATTCTTACTGGTGGTCCAGTTGGCCCAGACCGTCCTCTCTCTCCAGGGATTCCTCTTGGGCCCTGAAAAACACCACATTTAGTCTTCTTTACTTCTTTACTCTTCTGTGTATTTACTCTTCTTTGTTGTCATGTTCCAGTTGGAAGAATCATAAAGATGTTATTCTTAATTATAAAATACAAGACTATTAGATTAACTTCTCTTCACAGTCAGAAGTATTTTAATAATAACACCAACAGCCACGTATTATTTAGAAATACTTATTTATGTAAAACATATGATCCACTACTAGAAACCTAAATCTTCTGACCATTACAGAAAGTCCACAAAAGTACACTTTTTCAGGTACAGTAATAACATGATTTGTGTTTGTATTCAATCAACAATTTAAGACTCAGAAATCATTTGCTGTGAAATTATTTACTTACCTGAGGACCAGGACCTCCCATAGGACCAGTAGGGCCTGGTTCACCCTGTAAAAAAATAATTGAGTGTTTGCATACAGTCCTTTAAAGAAATTTAATAAATTGAGTGTGCTTGTATGAAAGATTGTAGATATTTTATACAGTATTCCCTCATTTCCCTAGGGAGGTCTAGTAGAAAACCAGACTAATAAAGAGACATTTTTCACTGAACCTATACTGGCCTCTTGTTTTTTTTTCTATTAAACATGCAGCTTATCTGTGTGAGGTTAGGATTGTGGTTAAGTGTCACACATTTAATTTCAACAGAGCAGAAGTAAAAACAGAACATTTGTTTACAAATCAAAACAATACCTTTGATCCAGCTGCTCCAGGTTCTCCTCTTGAACCAGCTGGACCTTGGTGACCCTTTGGAATACATTAAATAATTACTTTCCATGTTCACTTGAAACAGAAACTATACAGCAATTTCACAAAATTCAGTTCCGAGCTATAAATGGTGTACTTAAAACTTTTAGAAGAACAGTTCCTCGTTTAACACTGTTTCTAAATACATAAGTGATATACGGTATTCTTAATATATAAAATATATTAATATAAAATTAATTGATTTTTTATAACATCAAAACAACAACAACATTAATAATAATTTCTTGCTTGATACAGATGTGCTTTACATATAAGAAGAGACACCATTCCTCCACCTCTGATGCACAGCACCCACCTCGATTACAATGACAGCCATTATGCCCAGCTCATGTACACAGGTTTCAAATTGCCTCACAAATTAATTTAAAGGGGAATATCAGGTAATTCACATTTTACAAAACCCAGAGTGAAAATCAGCAAAACACTGGGGTAAAAACCTCTACTTGTAATTAAGTGCATCTGAGGTAAGGGAATGGGAATCTTTTAATGAACAAGTACAGTACTGTATTTCTGCATCTAAGTTTAACATCCAGTCCAAAGGACAGCACCAGCAAGCTCAGGCATTTGAATACAATAATATTTATTTCACATAACTAAGAGGTAGAATGCTTTAATCAAAGTTTGTATGTACCTACCCTGTGTCCCTTTATTCCTGGGAGACCAGGAGCCCCAGGAAAACCTCTTGCACCCTGAAATATAAAATACCCTATTTTCATAAATGCATTCAATAAATTATTTTAAGTAGTTATTGTATATTTAAATATACAGTAGCTAATTTAAATTCTACAACAGACTTCTACACCAATTTGTACTTTCATAAGTCCACTCCGATTTTTTTTCAGTATTCCTAAAACAACAAGAATGACAACAACAATAAGAAGAAGAATCTACTGTTAGACTATGCAGTATATTGAGAATTGTAAAAAAAAACTAAATATTGTATTCATACAATACACAGTTGTTATGCTTCGTATACCATCTTGGCATTAGACTAAAGGTCTATGTATTTTTAGATAATAATAATTATACTTTACCGGCGATCCAGGAAATCCAATCTCTCCTGTCTGACCAGACTTGCCAGGTTCTCCCTGAAACATAAAATAAAATTAGGTACTTCCTCGTATTAAACTAATTTTAATTATTAGATTTTCAGGTTTTCAGGTCCATTATGTTCTCACACAGACATTTTAATTATGCAAAGGTATCATGAGAAATGTGAGACTTGGCATGTCTAAGTGTGATAATGAGAAAGAAATTGAGAATATGCCAAGAAATAGGAAATAGTGTATCGAAGCAAGTGGAAGTCAGCAAATTGTATTAAACAATTCAGAGCCCTTGTGTCTGCAAAGGCTGAAAAAAGGCTGAGAGGTTGGAATGTAAAGATGGAGAAGTGGCAGTAGTGAAGTGCTTGTCCACTATAGTGTCGGTATTGTGATTATGCTCAGTTTGTATCTGTCTATTTTTCTGTGACAACCTAATAAGGTCTGCAGTGCCTGATAAAAAAATTGGTGTCCTTCAAGCTCTGTATGTTTTATCTTTCCCTTTTCATGAGGAGTGAACACTGCACCGTTGTTATTAGTGTCCTGTTAGTAACCTATTATACACTGATGTGTGTACAGCAAGCTCAGAAAAGGAGTGGAGTGTTGGGGCTACAGATTAGCCTTCATTTTTATACCTACCACTTTGAAATCACTTCTCAACCAATTTGGTTATCCGCTAGCCCTTGTACCAGCATTCAACAAATGAATAAAAGTGTGTTTCTTCATCAACAACATGCAGTGTTGTCACTCTCCATTTTGCACACTTAGACTCTGCTGTATCTGCAGCACAGTTAGTATTAGAAGAAGGTGCTTACTCTGCTGTAATGCATCTCTCACTGTTAAAAGTGACAGGCTCTCCTCAGTCTGTAGTGAATTCTGTTGTAAGACTAGTTGAGTGCACTCATCCCTAGTGACTGTCAGTCAATCTGTGTTTTTACTTGGCGATAACTAATCACAGTTGGCTAATGTAATTAAATGTTATTGAACTCATAATGTTATGAGAAACAACATCAATAACTGTATTTACTGAGGTTTATCCATAATAATTTACAACCCAACAAAATTAACTACAACAAAAATCCAAAGGTTTACTTACATCTATGCCTGGTTTACCTGGTGGGCCCTCAGGTCCTCGTTGACCTATTGGACCCTAAAACATTGAATAAAAAATAATAATATCTTCATATTCATAAAATAGTATATCATGTAGAAGTAAACAAGAGATATACTGTATGAGGTTCTTTTCCTATTCAAATACATTCGTTCCATGATATTTAAAAAATAAGACATACTTTTAGAGAAAAAAAGTGAAGTAACGAAAGGAATACTTTCACTTCCACCTGATATATGACAAAGAACAGATTTTGAAGGCTAATGTTTTGGAGTTACAAAGTAAAACAATGCACATACTCTGAGGATCACTGCATGCTTTAAGATATCATGAAATCAATGGAAATGTCAGCCATCTTGGCTTGGCAACAGTTACAGCTGCTTTGAACCCAGATGGATTTCGGTTAACAAATGATTGGAAACCTATGATCAATGTGTAGCACTATACAGTTTAAATCCAGGCCTACACATAAATATAAATCTTTGCTGCACTCGTTCATAGAAATCCAATTTGGAACAAAGATGAGGGAATACATTGTGTGGTAAATGTGTGCCTTCACCTTCAGCTTGGAACACAACTACTGTTGTGGTCATTTTGTACACAGTAGAACTCTCATCAGTGGTTGCTATCATTTATTTAGTGCTATAGGAGGGAAAATATATAGAATTATACAGATATTTCAGTAATATATAAATATACAGTATTTCAATAAGGCATCACATTTCTGTCACCTTTTTGTTGAGTAAAGCATTACAATAAGTAGGACACTGTACCCTTGTTGTTTCAGAATTACCTACCACATGAAACGTGTTCTCCAAGTGTGTAGTTATAAAGCTTATTAAATGGGCTTTGCATATCATCTCTGTAGAGAAGTCAACTTTGATTGATTTTGTTACTTTTTCAGCTGCATTTTTTCTGTATTTTCACCTTCGTTTGTTCAGCAAATGCACAAAACACTTCTTCTAGTAAACAGCATTTTCCATTATTTCACTGCCAACTGGCAAGTGTACAGAAAAAAAAAAACAATCCAAAATGTCTAGGTGACAACTCCACACCTATAGGAAGCATTTTGTCAAGTTCTAGTAAACCCACATAGGCCTAAAAGTCAATTTTTCATTATTATCAACCTTGTTCTTCCAGACCCATTACTGCATCTTAGGGTTAAAAAAAGTTTGAACACCTTCTTACCATGTGTCCTGGTTCTCCTGATTCTCCTGGAGCACCCTGTGGACCTGCAGGACCCTAAGGAGTGAAAAAATTGGGTCATTCATCCACCAAAAACTAATTTATGATGTGCTTGATAAACCATGTTAATTTTTTTCAATTTCTGGTTTGACAACAGAAATGGTTTTGGATATCAATTCAATTATTTTCTGAATTTTTGTGGGTTTTTGTTCAGTACAAATACTAAGACATTCAGACAGAGAATTCTGCAGAGAATTTACTTATACAAAAAATTGGTCGTGTTTCTATTTTTCCATTAAAAGGATATTATTATACAATCATGGTTATTCATCATTCAGTACAAACTAGCACTTACTTTGGAAATCAAAAAGTAAAACACTTTACATTTTATGAATTACGCTTCCAGGTTTATACAATACATTGTTAGTTTAATAAATACATTATAGCTTATTAAAGAATAGTCCATAAAGAAAAAAAATGTAGTCTCATCAGTAAGCCAATTAATGGAATTGTATAAGGAATGGATTAAATTCCATTTTTGTCATTACAGACCACTAATTCCATACAATGCTATTCGTACATTCAATACCTGCTGGACATGTTGGACAAGCTAGGACAAGAAGAATGGTTTTATATACTGTTCAACACTTACTGGTTGACCTGGTGGCCCTGGGGGTCCTCTTGCACCTGCTTGTCCCTAAAACAAACAAAACACAATAATAAAAATCCCAAGAACAAGAATATCAGCTTTATTGTCATTTTATTGTATTTATTGTTTCTTAACTTGCATTACACAAAAAATATAATTCAAAATGATTAAATAAAAATACATTAGTATGGCCTTCTTTGAAATAAGTAAAAACTTATTTTATGAATTTATTTTATGGTTTGGAAATATTTTATGTTTCTTTTAGTGCATGAAACAAAAAAGATGTTTCCCTGGTGACTTTAAGCTACATGATTTATATGTTGCAATCTCATTTGTAATGATTTTAGGAATAAAACAATGTTGATAAGATTTACTAATCCGTATTGTAATGCTTTTCAAGTTTGTAATTTAAAATAAATGTCCCTTATTCAGTTAAAGTAATTATATTCAGTATTTTACAAACTTACTCACAGACCTTGAAAACTTTCCATGTCTTATAGCCTTGTGAAAGTGTGAAAAGGTTTAAGGAATTGTAAGATTCCCTATTGCATACAGTATGTATTCAAACTTTTTGCTACAGCACCCTTACAGTAAATCAGTTCATGTACAAGAAAATAATCACAGATTTACATTCATGGTCTCCATCTGTGTTCAGAGTAAATACATATGTCTGCTTACATTCCCTCAGATGTTAAATTGCTAATCCAATTGACAACTCATATAGTTATACAACAAATAATTAGATTGAGGAGCTTTTGAAACATCAGGGATAAAGTGGTAGAGATGCACGGATTTACAAAATATTACTTTTCCTTTAAGCATGTCAAAATCAAGCAATAAAAAGTGGAATCTGCATAATAAAAATTGCAAAGTTCTGAAATGGGAGTTACTATTCATAAATTGTTAATTTGTCAGGAACCACACAAATGTGGCCTATATGGGAGAGAGGCAAGAAAGAAACACAAAATAAAAAAGATGTATTTTAAATCTCCTTTTGGAAATGCAGCAGTCATATGGTAGAATATTTTACTGTGATATGGAATAAATTGAATTTGTCCCTTATTAAAAAAATAAACTGGAGCAAATCAAAGCATATCACCCCATATTCACATAATCAAAAGCTGAACCAATAACTGAGTGATGACTAAGCAAGACTTCCATGATAGTGGTACAAGCTGAGTTAGGTAACAATGAGGTAACACCTAACTAGTGTCAACATTTCCACTTCCTAGAGCTTAAAACCAAGGGATGTTTACTTAGTTATGCTGGGTGTGAGAAACATTGATCAAAAGAATCTTCTGGTTTACCTTAGTAAAGTAAGTTCTGGTTAATTATCAATAGTGTCAGAATTGTAGGATAAAAGACAGGACAAACCATGAGAGACAGAGGAGGGGAGACAGAAGGACAGAAAACTTGAAGCGAGTGCCAGGAGAGAGGTCCTTATTTGAGATCATCCGAGATTCAAGTATTTGAACCTGGCTAAGATTGCTTGCTATTCTGTAGTTTTTAGTAAACTTGGATTTCCTGAGTGAAGAATCCCCTGGTTAAGAATGTTTTTTCCTGGTTAGTGAGTGAATTTTACAATGTGGAGATAGGTTCCTATTTCTTTTTTGGCATCCAGATTTGCAGAGAGAGACATTTAACCACAGGATTGTATTCTTATAATTTTAGAAGATATTTTATATCTTATTCTGGACTTGGTAGGCATTAAGAGTTGAAGTAGTTCAAGTAGGTAGCTGCATCAGCATGCTTAGGCTGTAAAGGAACAAGTAAAGGTTTATTCCATGCTGAAAAAACAAAAAGACAAGAAACACAACATTTCGGCTGTGGAAAATTGGCAGTTGATAAAGAATGGGAGAGCAAAAGCTGGGAATGGAGAGGAGAAGGAAACAGGAGAGAAGCAGTATTTACACTAAGGTGGTGTGAAGTTGAGAGAGGTTAAGGGAGGTGTGCCGTCAAAACCTGCAGATGAATTGAGATAATTAGAAGGAAATTAGTCAGTGAGAGAAGGGGGAAGGTGTGATCCTAGTTTCAGGATAACTTTGGTATTGGATATCTTTCTGCAGTTGGAGTAAACCCCTCTTTAAGAAATCAGACGAAGAGATCAGTATGATCATGGCAGCTAGAGGTGAAATGAGAAACTATGGGCTTGGAGAGATCTTTGATCCTCACAGCCCCGACATGTTCCCTGAAATGATCTCCCAATCTCCTTCCTCTTTCATCAATGTAAATAGCTGGGCATTTTCTGCAAGAGAAGAAGTAAATAAGGTTGCTAGAAGTACAAGATGTCATCTGAGTGATCTGGAATTGTCCAGATGGGCCTTGAATGTGTGTGGTTTTGGATATATATTTACAGGTGAAGCAGTGAGTTCTGTTGCAGGGGAAAGTGCCTTGTGTGGATGACTGCTGGGGGGGGTCAAGGGAGCTGTGAATAAGAAGGTTACGCAGATTAGGCGGTCAGCGGTATGAGATGATGGGGCGGTCGGTAAAAATGGTATGAGTGGAGGGATCATTTTATAAGATGGGGAGGTTGTCATTAATGGTCCTGGGGATAGAAAGGTTGTTGGGGTGGTATGGAAGCACCGAATGCAGTTGTGAGTCTGGGAGTTCCTAACAGGGTTGATGTTTCAAGGGCTATTTTTGGCTCAGAAGAGGGTCGATAACATGGGTTGAGTATCTTCTGTTAATGAAAATAAGAGCGCATTTTGAGGGCTTGGTTTTAAACGTCATGTCATCACTGCAAGCTGTGCCAGAGAATAAAGAATTCATGTGCCTCTAACTATACCAATCGCTCGGGTATATTCTTGAATAAATCGTTACAAGCTGGGGCTTATGATTATTCATTTTACTCATTGATTTATCTGCTCGGTCATTTCCTGTTTATTCACTAATGTTTATATCCCCCCTCCCCATTTATAACAATACGAAAGGTCAAAGTAACAATGCAGGGGTTTACCAAGTAGAAAGTTAATGTCCTCAGTGGCCCATTTAAAGGCCTGACTTCAGTCCTTTGGAAGACTTATGGAAACACTTCAAGAATGCAATCCATCAATGATCCCCAAAAAACTTGACAGAACTGGAGTAACTTTGAGTAGAAGAATGGTCAAGAATGATCACTTTGCTAAGCTCCTAGACACCCCCCCCCCCCCAAAAAAAAAATCATATTGGTTTTACATACTTATCTAAACAGCAAATGTCACTTTTTATATTTTCTTTGCAGATTCTGCAGACATTCCACTTTCTTCACATATAATGCTATTCAATTTCTATCATTACATTTTTGAATTACATTTCATTTGAAAAACACTGTATAAGTTACTTGTATTTTATAAAAATGTGACAATACTGGTAGGTGGTGAGGGAAGGCAATGTATACATTTCAAGGTCTTCCAACAATGAAAGGACTGTTCAGAAAGAAATGCTGAGTCTCAATATGACCATAGTTATGTTTTCAATTCTTAACTCTCACCATTGTTCCAGGAACCATTCCAACCTGGCCAGCAAGTCCTGACTTCTCATCAAAACCTCCTGCCATGTGAGATGCAAAATGGTTCTGAAAAAGGAGATTGACAGTAATTTACATATATAAATCCAAGTTATAAGATATATTCATTTTATACAAAATGTATTACATTTTATTGAACAAGTTCAATAAAAGTATACTAAGCATCTTAATTAATATTTTGGAATAGAATAGTTTAAAGTTTTAAACACTCTGGCCAAACATATTATCAGACATATTTATCCTTTTTTTTTGTTTTAGCATGATATTGATTCCTGTTTGGAAGGTTGTGATTTATTTCACAAAGTTAATGGATTTTCTATGCAGATATTATGCATTCCTTGGCTGGTCCCTTTTTGAGAATAGGTGATTTCAGTCATTCGTTTTTGTACTAATATGAGGACAGTGGCACACTGTTAAACCAATAGGCTTCTGTAATTAAAGTGAAGTAAAGAGAAAAGAAAAAAAACATAACATAAATTAAAATGGAAAAGTAGCCTACACTATAAACATCTTATAATCTATGTTTGAAAGTCATAATGAAACACATTTCATAATATAGAGTACTGAAGAAGAAGGCAATAACAGTTACAATTACCCATTAGCCAAAACTGGATCTGCTAAGAAAAACATCTGCAGTTAAAGACCAACAATATTCAATATACTGTGAAGGTAAACCCTAAAACGACTGTCAGTGAAATCGATAACATGTTAATTATTAAAATTTACATTTAGAATAATTATAAAGGCTACATTGCCAGATGTAAACCTCTCAACAGAATCCAAGAATGAGAAAGTAATATTAGAATTGGCTCGGATCCACAAATCTGAGCCTGTAGAGTTTGGGAACAAAGTTTTTTGGACAGTTGAAACCATGATAAACCTTTACCAATGTGATAAGTATTTTAAAATGTAGAGAAAAAATATTGCAGATGGTCCAAAGAACACCCCCTAATCTGTGAAGCATAGTGGGGGTAATATCATGGCCTGAGCATTCATAGCAGTCTCTGGAAATAACTCATTCATTTTTATTGATAAAGTAACTAATGATGATGACAGAAAATTAATTCTGAAGAAACACTGTCTTTACGTAGCAGAAAATACTTGCATATTTATTGGGTGGCATTTTAATGTTCAGCATGACAATAACCCAGGATAAAAGTAAATCCCTTTATGTGAATCTGATTGAGCATTCATTCATTTTAGAGATTGAAGAAAAAGTGTCAGAACACCTCATGAATATAGGCAATAACTCAAAAATTCTGCAACAAAAGGCTTGGTAACACATCCCAAATGTTTACACAAAGAATTAGGCAAGCTTAATGGGCCAGGCTTCGTACACTTATTGTTTCAAAGTGATATGGAACCCAATACTAACTTTTAAGAACTCAGAAATGTATTAAAGTGAATATTTCCCAATACTGTGGTTACTTGAAACCTCTTTACTTGAAGTACCTTTTCGTTCTCATGATCATATAATGTATGTTATTTTGTGATTACACTTACATTAATTTTATGATCAATTAAACTAACTATAAACAAGATTTTGACTTTGTAACTTTGCTCTCCCAATACACAGGGATAGCAGTGCATGTGCAGCCATATTAAAGTAAAACACGAAGGAGAAATTTTGTATTTTTTTCAGTGTACAGGAGTACTTACGCTGTCCAGGCCAGGATGTGTGGGATGACCGGGGGGACCAGGCTCACCAGGTTGTCCAGGGACTCCTGGCTCTCCGTCAAAACCAGGTGGACCTCTGGGACCCTAAAAGGAAGTTCCTCTATCAGTTCTGTTTCATATACAGTAGTATGATTTTCTGTCAAAAACAGTAATATTTTGGGCAACTGGTGAAATCAGCTACTTACTTAGAAATATAGGAAGGCCAAGGCTGTTAGTGATAGTATCTAATCTAGTATTCATTGTTTATTTTCTTTCCCATGTCAGCATTTTTGTTGTTTTGCACACAGCAAAAAAAATAAACTACAATTCATAAAGTTTCTGTCAGTAAAGTAAAACTATATAAAATATGAGTCCACTGGATGTCCACTCTATACTTCAAATACATTTCAATAAACAACTGTCAATGTTTCAGCACTCATTCACCTTCAACAGGACAAACATATTTGTTTAACACAAGATCCACTACAGTTTATACAATGTGGTGGAAAAGTAAGTATGCCCCTTTAAGATTTTTTACTACACTGTACAATACATGATCAGATGCATTTGTCGTTGTGAAGGCCTTTGTGCCAAAACATTGACAGTTCCATCCATCCATTTTCTAAGAGCTTTGTCAAAAACAGGGTCATGGGGTAGCTGGAGTCTATACCAGCAACCAACAGGCGTGAAGCAGGATACACCCTGGAGAGGAGTATACTTTCCATCACAAGGTGCATGCTTACACCACAGCCACTTTTCCAAGAAGCCAATTAAGTTTCTAGCATTTCTTTGGACTGTGGAAGGAAACTGGGGCACCCAGAGCAAACCCAATTGAACCTAGGGCTCCAGCACTGTAAGGCAGCAATGCTAACCATAGCATCACCATGCTGCCCACATCAAATTTATTTTGGGGAATAAAGAGTGTGTCTACTTTTTATATTTTCTCTGGATAGCACTTCTGTGATTTATGGATGTGTGTTCTTTTAATCTTTTCTTGGCAAAGAAAACCTTTTTTGTGTTTCATGGAATCAATTAACACTTTACTAGCTACAAAAATTCACATAGTTATGGCCTGTTTGTAGAGAAATAATTATGACAGTACGTAAGGCCTATATGTTAGGATAAGTCCATGTGCTTTTAAAAGTCTTCATCAGATAAACATACCCTTATACTACTGATTCTAGGACATTTATTGGTAAAGGGCAACATTTCAGTTGTGGCGTGGGAGAACAACAGTGGGAAAATGAATTTATAACTGTTTTTTTTAATGAGATTATGTGTGTTATTGACACCAGCTTAAAGTTTTCATTTTGCTGCATTATTTTAATGTAAAACATTGATAATTAAATACATTTTGATCTCCTCTAGAAAACCTAAAATGCTTTTTGGTGAATAGTAACTGTTCATTCAAAGTGTTAATGCACATGGTTTCAATTATGTTTATTAAAAGTTAACATAAAAATTAATCATTGTGTTGGGGAATGCATGAAGTCATCATATGACTATGAGGAAACCAAAGGGTAACGCATTACTGGTTGTTATGTTCTGTAAGTAACAAAGAAGGGATTGTACTACTTAGTTCTTGACAACAACTGTTATTTCATTATTCCTAAAGATAGAGAAAGGAGTAAAAACATTTAAGGTAAAGATAATGCAAATAAGTTTGGAAAATGTATCACCATCTTATCAGAATATTCAAAATAGGGTCATATTTGGTGAGCCTAAAAATTACATTGTAGAGTTGTTGATAACTTAATGTACAATGATAAGAGAAAACCAATATATTTCATGTGGTTATTAAATAAAGAGTACTCTTTAGGAACAGTGGGCCTGTTTGGAAATAGGGAGGCTGGGAAAGAGAATAATATTGTTCATTCTTCTTCATTGTAATCCCATAATTCAGTAATACCTTTGCTTCTCTGAAAATATAACTATTTTTCTTCTGTAATATACTACAGATACTCATAAGGCAGATGTTTAAGTGTGGTGGTCATACATTATTTCCTTTACTACTAGGAAAGAACAAATGGGTAATGTGTGTTTTGCCTGATAAATCACTTCCAATTTAAATACAATTTTTCTAAACTTCAGTTTGGAACTTCTCCCGTTGTCTATTATCTTCTCTTCCTTTGTCTATTGCCCCAGGTCTTTTGGCACCATTTCCCTTTTTTAAAAACAAAAAAGAAAAGAAAAGTCTCTTTCTTCCCTATTCTATTTTCCTTCCAAAGAGCATCTTCCCGCTTTCTTTATTGTTGGTGCTTCTTGCTCTGCTCTCCTTGTCCTTTTATTTCTTCCTTTCTGTTTGTTTGTTTACATGGAGAGAAAAGGTGCTGTGTTGAGTTGTTATTTCATTTGCTCCCACTTATTCTGTCCTACTTTTCAGTACAGAGTTTACAATCAATGAGCTTCCTGCATGATGTCTCTGCCGCTCCTATTACAGAAGAAAGCCCAATAGCAGCTGCAGGGATGCACTGATGTTCCTCTGGGGTATCGTGTTCCCTTTCCATCAGAGGAGGAATTCTGACTGCCTGGATAAATTCTTCTTACATGTTTCTGAGGATGTGTTTGATTCTGTGGGTGGGGAGATATCTGTAGCAACTAAATTGGTGAGCAAAGCCCCTCTTGAGTGTGCTCCAAGTGTCCGTATCCCAGTATGGCACACCTGATGGGCTCTGACTTACCTGTTCCAAACTAATCTCCATTACCCAAGGATATCTGGGCATGGTAATGGTGAATTTGTGAGTAGAGTAGCTATTGCACCTATAGGCTCTGTGTTCCTTGAAAGATGGCACCCCTCTTGCAGCAATTTCCAGACATTTTGCAGAGGTTGCTCTTGGGCACAGCCTTTATTGATCACTTTGCTCTATTAAGTTTGAATTTGTGACTTTTCCTCTATGGTAGAAGAAATACAATGGGTCTTTGTATGAAATTATATCCATCTTACCTATATTTCCCACATCAAGTGTCCAGCAGTCACCATAACAATCTGGAATAGATCGTTGCAATTGCAAACTCTAAGTAATGTAAATGAACCTGTGTAAGTGTATATCAAAGTGTACATTCATTTTTACTTATTTGTGTGTTGTACACCTTGAGGATTTGTCTTCTTGTTTCTTTCATTAACATTTGCAGCTGTCCTGCTAAAATCTAACCCGTACCCAAGAAAGGTAGCATTTTAAATAAACCGATCAACCTTAGATTGCTCAATGAATGTTAGAATTTGGATTTCACTCTCTTCTGAATCCACACACACAGGAGATCATTGCGATATTTTTTAATCTCTTGGAAGAGATTAACTCTGCAAACTTTGAAAAGACATTCCATAAGACACATGAAAAGACATGCAAATCTGTTGAAGAACAGGTGAGGAGAAGTATGGTATTAGCAGGAAAACAACACTCAATGTCTTGTCTGCTTATTATGGTCAGAGGATTTAAAGAGTTCTTGCACTGAGAATCAGGGTTCACTATTACATTTCTTTGTACTTTTTAGTTGCATGTACCATTGGCTGCACAATGGAAAAAAATGTATCTTTCTCTTTGGAAATGTTTGGAATCCTGAGCACTGGAGGCAGAAATATGCATCATATTCTGATTCTGCACACTACTTACACAGCACTATGAATTGACAGCCAATGTCACTACATGTGGCTACAGTTCGTAAATTTTAAGCTATTGAATTAGTCCTGCTCTGTAAATTAGTGTATATAGCTCATAAAAGGATTAAAGTCTTAATGGAATTAATTTTCCCATTGTACTGATTTTTCAGACTCATTTGCATTAAGTTGTTTTTTAATCACTCCATGATGACATCTTGACACTACTTTATTCCCATCTTGCCACTACTTTTTTTAGTCTTTCTTACTAAGCTGTTTGTGAACCTCTTGAATATCGTTTTCTCTTTTCTTTGATAATTTCCACATTTCTGTAAATAGCATAAAAGTTTATTGTTTACTATGTATTGGATGTAATTTACCTTTTACTATTACTATGGACCACAAGAACTGTCTTTGTTCAAACACATTTCAAGTCAGTTATGAAGTTTAAATTATAATTGTGACATAATAACAAATCCATTTAATTTCTGAAATTCTGAAATTTTATTTTTTATAAATTAGATGGTGGCATTCTACATTTGAATAGTTTTAAATTTTTTATGCAGGGAAGTTCTTGGTCTGCCTTTATAAGACATTAACCATGTACAGTAAATTTGTATACTACATGATTGCAAAATATATTTTACTAGGTACAACCAAGAAATTATCTCTTAAGTTCATAAGAAAGTCTTACTTTGACAAGAATTTCCCAGGATGTACCTGGAAATTGGTATTCACCTATTTCATTTTAGTTATTCATTATAGTTATGTTTTTCAGTTTAATCACTAATGCATTCTGATGTCATATTGTGTTATTGAACATATGGAATTGGTTAGTTTTTCTTTGAATAACTCAATGTAATTTTAATAAAAATATTAAAAGTTTTTTTTTTACTCCAGTGTTTTTAACAGCTGTGTAGAATAATTACTCAAATGGGAAAAAAGCAACCACAGGACCAACAAATATATACTTGTGAATCAGCCAAAAAGCATTCAAATTATGCAGGTATGATACCAATTCTTCTATCTTTTTAAAATTAAAAGAACAAAATATGATAAGGTATTCTTGTTTGATGATGTAATAGGAGATTCTTGTACTTGTCATTGCAAGTCTTTGAAATAATTCCAGATTTTTACAAATTAGATTACTGTATCTCTGTCTGAACTCGCCAGTCAGTTTTTTTACATTTTTACATGGATTTTTAGTGAATGAGGATAATGACAGTATCAGTGCTTCACTTATATATCTTTGACAACTGCACTGGAAGGATAAAAAAGAGTTCTCAAAATGTTGCATATTTCATAAGTGATTGTCCTATTTATGTTTCAAGCCAGGGTTATTTTCCAATAATTGAATACAGGTTTCCAAATCTGTGAAACTATCAATATCTATAATATTAACAATAAAACTGTGTACTTATGCAGATATAAAATCAATGGGATTCTTTATTAAGGGTGCAATTATATCAACTACTATGAGTAAAAATAAACTGTTATTGCTGATCTAATTCTTAAAGACCTTCAAAAGACAGAGATGGTTTTTCTTTTTTTATTGCTCTTCTTATCATTCTCTTACCAAAAGGAGGCAGTAGTGATCCCATTAACTATTGTTGAAGCACTTACTTGACTAGTATTTACATATACAATAAGAACGACAATGTTATCCTGTTCAGGGAAGGAAAACAGTTTGTTTTGAGAAATGATCAGCTGGCAACATACCGGCCTTCCTTTGGGACCATGGGCTCCTCTGTACCCTTGTGCACCTGGAGGTCCCTACCAATAAAAGCAGAAAGTTATAACTAACAATATTAGTTATTCATAATACAACTTAAGCAATATCAAGTTGTATTCAATTACAAATTGAAATTTAAACTAGGATATTTTCATTTGTCAAATAATATCACATTCAATACATTTTTGCAATCCATTAAACAATATAAGTGAGATGTTGCTACATTTTCAGAAAAGTATTGAAATTAAAAAACTTTACACAGATGTCTGTCGTTCTCTAGAATGCCATCTAGTGTTACAAGAGAGAGCAAACAGTGATCTCAAAACTGAAAGACAAAATTTTGATGTAATAAAACAAAACAAAATTCTGTGAAAATTACTTATTGTAATGAAAAAAGTAGGAAAACATAAAAATCCATTAGTTCACAGTGAGAAATACTTGCCATGGGTCCTGGACGACCTCTTATACCAGTTATCTGTTCATAAAAAAAAGAATAGAACACTGTAAAATTCTTGTTGTATGATTGTCTCCCTTAGAAACAGTTTGAATATGGATAGTCTTTTAAGTTTGAAATGTTCATGATGTCATAAACTTACAAATGGGACATCTCCAGGTTCACCCTTTTGACCCTGAAAATGTTAAAAACAAAAGAGGAAGGAAAGATCAATTTATGGAAGTCTGTTTCTTTTGGAATCACACTAGTCTAATATAAATAGTAAAAATAGTAAATTAGACTTTCAAATAGAAATTATAGATTTAAGCTTTATTGTTAAATGGTGTTGAAAAGAATAGAGATTGAAAAACAATACATAACCACCATAACAAAGAAATCTAATTGAGTTAAACCATATAAATTCCTGTGACTATTTCTGATGTTAACAAGAAAATGCGTCAACTCTATATCCTCAACAGAACGCTTAATGTGTGTCAACAATCATGACAAATATTATCATTTCCATTTCTAACCATTATTGCCTTGTCTTCTCCTTTTGCACTTTAGTAGAATTCCAGATTGTAATATAAATGAACATTAGCTCTTTCACTTACCTTATAGCTTCTACCACCTAAGACAAAAAATACGTCAATGGTATTAGTATTTGATTACACAATGATGAAAATATAAACCTTTCTTTAGTAGATTGTGTCTTCATCTAAACACATGGATACAGTTTTTTCACAATTGAGTTCTGAGCATTCTGACAAAATATTAATTATATCTAGATGTGTAATGCATGCAGTATTTCTTTTTTTTGTGCTTTTCCTCTAACGTAGAAAACATTGGATCTTATTTTAAATGTTGCCAATCAACAAAATTCAAAGGAAATAAATCATATGGGCAAATTCTCTGCAGTTCAATCTAGACCTGGCTGTGTGGCTACTACCACAGCATTATTCTGTTCACTGCAACACATTTTTCAGATAATGTTCATCGAAACAGTTTTATAAAATAATCTTTCATTTCATTGTTAAAATGAATACATTTGTTATTTCAATATTTGAGTAATTGGAAGATAGTAAGTATTGAAAATATATGTTCAGGTGGAAAAAGGGAAATTAAATTTAAAATTCAAATTGGTGTAAAAGTACACATGCAGTGAAAAGGTTATCTGCAAAATGTTTTAAAAGCTATATATATATCATGAACTTTACAACTCTATATTAACAATAGATTTGAAACAAACTATCACAGATTTATTGTATCTAATAATACATTATTTTGTTGTTGAAACATACCATTTCCACCATGTGTGGTAGGATTGTCATTTCCTTGACAAATTGGACAGCACTCTCCATCCGGAATCACAGGTTTTTCACAGTTTGTTATCTCATCGCATTGGATTTCATCACAGAGAATTGCTCCGCTGTCACAGACGCAGATCCGACATGGCCCTGGCTTCCAAATATCTCTGTTTGTGTAAACCTGACCATTCTCTGTGCAGCTTAAATCATCTCCTGGAAATAAACAAAAGACAACCATCAGAATAAAATGTGTATTTGTGTTGTCTTTTTTTTGCTCACATTTTATATTCCTTTTCAATGTACATTCTCTATTAATCCAATACACATCTTTCATTATTCCAACAAGAACATCATAAATCATCATTATTTAAAAAAATGTATGTACAGTAGCATCACTGTTTCACTGTTTCTTATCTTTAAATATTTGCAGTACGTAGGAATCTGACCAGTAACACACCACAGTAAGACACACCCTAACATGTACAGTCCTACAGAAACATACACATTATTTTGATTAGTGTAAAATGAATCAAACATGGGCTAATTGACAACATTACCATTCAGAATAATTGGCATTCAGAGATTTCACATGAGGGAAGGAACACATAGGATGGGCTCTGAGTGGAACTTGCCACACCACAGGACTAATTGGAAGGTTAAGAAGAGAAGCCAGGAAGGCAGGAAGCTCCAGCATGAGAAAAAGGAGAGTGAGATCTCTGAAGTGAGTGTGCAATAGTAATGGATTGAGCTGGCTTACAGGGCTGTGGGATTCAGTGAGTGACGGTGATTTGGAAAATATAGCTAAAGCTGTACAGTATCTGGGAGGGGTCTGTCATTTACCAACAGACTGATAAATGTGAAGGCGCGGTACATAGAGATTCCAACATGCCCGAAGATGAGGGTGGAACAGAATCGTAAATTCCTAGGGCATGGCAGTTCTTACGCCAGACTCAATGGGATTGAAGTGCACTGCAGAAGAATAGGGCTGGCAGCTGTACCAGAGCTGATATAGGAGGCGTTAGCACTAGGATTATGACATTGCCCATATTCTCCACATATCGTCTCCCCACAGCTAGGACTGAAGACAGTCTAGATGGCACAACTGGAGTTCTACATTTTCTGAATATGTACCATCAGCAGACAGGTGTGCAGTGTCAGGGAATAAGTGAATAAGGAGTGAGAAAGAGAAACAACAAATTGGCTGGTGCTGTGTCAGGGGTGCAAATGGTGATTAATGAAGACAAAGGAGTGCCTGTGGCCAAACTGGATCAGTTAAAGGGTCCACCAGTTAAAGGGGCAGGCAAGACAGAAAGTTCTCCATTTCTGCTTGGAGCTGAAATGATAGCATTTCAGTTACATATGATACCCTCAAATTTGATGGACTCTGGCCCTAACTTCAGAAGACACTCTGCACTTGGGTGCTTCAGTAAAGAATCTAAGGTTTTTCATCATAAATGTTTTCTAGAAGGGAATTATGGGCACCTAGTAATGAGGCCTGTTAATCGAGGGAGCTTGAAGATCCATGTGTTGTGTTTATCAGATGCAGTAAGAGAACTAGAATAAACACAGTTACATCTGTCAATTTCAATTAAAGCAAATTAGGAAAAGGAGAGACCACAGACCCAGGAGCCATTTCAAGGCAGTGATTGATGCTGCTCTGCTTTCAATGTATTGACAAAGGAAATATGCAATAGACTTTTTCATTGCCCTGGGAGGTGAAATCCTATCTGAGACTATCTGAGAGAGCACAGCAATATGTTGATATCTTGCATTCTCTCACTGAAAGATTTCTAGAGCTCCACTCAGCATTTATACTACTATGCCACAAGATAGAGTTACTCTAGGCTGCAAGTACTTGCAAGACCATTGGTGTCGGCTCTTCCTTTTTTAAAGGAAGCCATTTAAAAATGCTTACCCTCCAGTAAGTTATTTGTTTTTCTTCTTAGATGTCATTTAAGAGTGGGGAGCTGACCAGACACTAGAGAGAAATGCAGGTTATAAAATGAGTTATGGGAGTATGAGAAAAAGCCCTTGTGAGAAGGATCACATCATCTGATCTTTCATATTCCAATTTGTAATGCTTGGATACCTTCTAATTAGATTTGATATGATTTGTTATGGAAATGCCACCAACTATTAAGGCCTTTCCTGGTTAGAGATATACAGTACAGAACTGATTGCATTTGCCAAGTAATTTTACTACAAGCACAGTATATAATTGAACACAGACAAGTCTGTGAATATTTTTTAAAACAATGAAAAACAGAAAATGCTTACAAACCTCACCCATTAGATACACTTGGAAAGAGTTTTAATATTGTACATAGGTATGAGTTCAAAGCCAACTCTTTGAAAATCAAAGGGTGGTTTATAGGATAGTGTTCAAGTTTAATTTTGGACATTTTCCCTCACGTTTTTGTGGCCTAAAAAGGGACAATTTTGCTTTCATAAAAAGGGGAATGATCACATTTGGATTGAATGCCTTTCGTGCATCATTCCTGAAGTATGTAAATATAGAACTTTATACATGTTTAAAATCTTGTAAGTGATATGTATTGGTTTTAATAAGACAAAGTGTTTAGTCATGTTGAAAATACAAGTTAATATTTTAAGTGAATTTTAATGAAGGATATGTGACTTATAACATTATATGTTTACTGTTTGAGTCTTATTTGACTTACTTCAAAAAACGCAAAAAAAAGAAGCTGATGAATAAAGGTAAAATATAATGCATGTTAAGTCATCCCTCTACCAAAGGCTATATATCCAAATGTTTGTGCAATTCCTGCTTGAGCCAAAATGGTAATTTAGTAATTCAGTCTAATTCCTGATTCTTATTAAAACATAGCTGCCTATAAAAACAGATTTAAAAAAAAAACAGCAACGACTTGAAAATTAAAAGCACACCCATTTTTGGACTAGTTTTATTGTATTTTTTAACACTTAAAATTACTCTTTTGGGGAGAATGCTCTGTTATATAAGTATATATACTTTTTATAGGCAGCTTGTAAGAACTGTTAAATAGTAGTAAATAATTTTTAACACAAATATATAACATAATATAGATCAAAGCTCAAAGAAACCTTTCTTTTATAACATTAAGTCGGCCCATGAAAGCTCTGTACTCCTATAAAAAGTTCTCAATTAATTTAGTTTACATAAATTCCATTTGTTTCTGTCAGGACATGTTAGAATTGTAATTATGTTTTTGATGTTATATTTTATGTATAGGGTCATCATAATCTGTACTACTTTTTAAATCACTATTTTTATGTTTTATTATGCAATTATTATAATAAATTAATTATGTTTTGTAATAGATTAAATTCTCCCAAAAGTTACTGCAGATGCACCTATTTATTTTATGACCACAAGGTGGCACACATAAGCCTAAAAAACTAAATAACTGTTCATGTTAGGCTAATAAGATCATAGTGGTCAGGACATTCTGCAAATGGTTATGTTAACCCTCTCTTCTGAATTAAAATCTGATGGCATAGTACGGCAAAGTTTTTCAATACAAAATCTGGATAAGTAAATAGATTAATAGAAATTAATAGAAATACTGACTTTTCTAAACTGAAGACAGAAACTTTAAAAAATGTGTTATCGCAATCATTTTTGTATAGAATAACCTGAATCTTCAACTACTTTATAGCTTAAAGTTTAACATTGCTCTAAGAGATTTGCACAATACTGCAAATCTCTGGTCATAAATGAACATAATGGAATTAGAAATGTTTCTCTTTCATAATGCTGGCTTAACTAATGGTATCTAATATTTACAGGACTGGGGAAAAAATTACCACAAGAAAACTAAAACACCAAAATAATAAAAAAAAATTATATGACACAGTCTTTGACTCTTTGAAACTCTTTAATCCCTCTGCTTTTAACATTTCAGCAATGTCATTCTAAACACTGTTACCAGCAGCAATACTACCTTGCCTTAACTTCTAACCCACTCACACCCGGCTTTCTGTGATCATATTGTATAAAAAGATGCTCCAAATCTTTTGCATGAGTATTAAAATGCAATGTGACATTTGAATCCTTATTGAAAGCATTAACATAAATTACCCAGAATTAGTCGTGCAGGATTAGACAAAGGTTTACATTAAAAAATATGAAAGTGCAACGAAAGAAGTATACTCAGGTGTTAACATTATGCTTGACAGTGAAACTATTTAAACCTCCTGTGTGAGTACTATTCATTTGTCAGTACAGAGGACTTCTGAATCCCACTGGCACAGTGAAAACAGAGTATAATATGCAAGAATTTCATTTTACATAGTGAACTACTGGGTTTATATAATTTTATAATCCAAGTGCATATTAGATAATCAATATAATTCTTATGTATCAGCATTAAACCGATTCCTACAGAACAGAGTGAAACCAGAACCAGTTTAGCAATTTCTCTCTATTTTTTGGTTTATTACAGCTTTGTTAATAAAGAATATATAAATAGACATATTTTGATTTAACTGTTTAGGCAGCTACAGCACGTTTATTAAAAATTGCAATTTGATATTATTGAACATTTGGATTCGACATTCCAAAAAAAAATATGGTTAACAGTAATTTCAAAGTAGTACCAAGAAGGTGTAATACTGTATGTCCTTTAAGCACCCTGTTCTAACTTATTACTATCTCTGTTAATAGTATTAATATTGATTATTTAGCAGATAAGGTTTATGCCCCTAAAATAAAATAAAATAATATTTTACTAGTGATCAATAGAAGTGATCAATAGAAATCAGCACAAAAGATTTTAAATAAACATGGAGAATAAAAGCTTACGTGCAGTATGCCAGCATAGAAAACCATTCACAAAATCATTGTATTTTTTGCAGTGTGCAGTTAAGGCATTTTTAAATCAAAGTTTCTGTTGTCACAATTTAACTTCCACAATAGAAGAGCATCTCTCCCATCATAAAACATGCTAGTGCAAGACAAAGCTTTCCACTTCCTACTTCCTTCAATACAGTGTCTATGGTTATTGTTGTTATAACAGAGCTTTAATGTGTGAAGACATTTATTTTTTTTGTTATTCTCCTTATAGCTCTTTTATGTTTTCTGTATTTATCTGAATTTTTGGGGTCATTTGGATTAGATGTAACCTAAAACTAACATTTAAATAGAGGACGGAAATTAGAATATCTTCACTATACATATAAATAAATATTAAAGGTATTTAGCAATAGAATAT